AAATTGGATAAAATTCTGGAAAATTTATTTCAAGAAATACTCTTCCATTAACTGAAGCAGGGACAGAGGCCTCATTCAGGCAATCATTTTGAACTGTCAGGTGATTTCCATCCCCTACAATTTTCACATGATATACCAATTCTGTTTGTGTACTGCATTCTTATTAAGTTAGTTCAGGTTAATTGTCCTGGCTTAAAATACAGTGGGCAGATCATTAAAACTACATAGGGTATAATTTCAAATTAAAAAGGCTAACTGTTCCCAGAATGTAGTAATTGATAAAAATATAATCAAGACTTATAAAATTATAAAATCAAGACTTTTTGTCATAGGTATCTATTTGGAAGCTTATGGTTTGAAAGATGGCAAATCTTGCCCACACTGACCAGCATTCGGTCTGCTGATATTTTAATGTAAAGCAGTAATGCCACGATATGTGCTTTCTTTTCTTGTACGCTACCCAAATATAACAAAAATAGGTGATCCTTGTTTAACATCTAGTGTGCATTTGCAGTTATGATGGTGATGAAAAAATAACTTTGCAAACAATCCTAGCATTTAAAACCTTTGCATATCTATAAAGCAAAGGAAGGCTGAAATAAGATCATAAGCATAGCCATGATTTCACTTAGCAACCACTTCACTTAACGACTGATTTGCTAGTCCCAATTGTTAAATTAGGACTATCTATATATGAATAGGAAAGAAAAGACTTGGAGTAATGCAAACTTGATTAAAGGAAAGAAAGGCTAGGTTTGTCAATATACAGTGCTGTTGCACATTGGTAAATTTCTCTAATAAGAGTTTATTCCAACAACCACCAAGCCTTCATCTGTGGCTTTAACTCATTATTTCCAGAGATGTGAACTCTACTGAGATGTCATCCTCAAGAGAGATAGTGTGAACAGTATCTCAGACGCATGTGCAAAAGTGAATAATGTGGCTTCAGCCTGATTAAAAGCCGGTGCTACATCCAGCAAGCTGCAGATGGAGTCAGGCCTATTATTACTTGCTTTTCAGTGTAGTTAGTGGAGGAAATATTGTTAATACAGATCTAATCGACAAACCAGAAAACCTGCAATTTCAAACTACTTTCCCAAGAATTACTATTGAAGCGGTAATCACAATTATGCCTATACATTTAATCAAATAAATGTGCCGGTAAATAAATGCACTTATATAGCCACGCATTTTAAAAATAACTTTAGCTGGCCAACAAAGACAGATGAAAACAAAGCATGTATTTTTAAGAGCTTTAAAAGAGTTTAAAAATGAATTAGACATCTCATAGCTACTTAACAACATCAAACAAGACATCCATACCAAGCTCCACTAACATTCCAATCCCATTGCCTGAAGGAAAAGCCAGGTCTTCATGGACTTCTGAGCCCTCTGAGATTTGGGGGCCATCGAATTTCACATGGGAGGTTGTTCCATAAGATGGCCACCATGAATGAGAAGCACACCTCCTGGGTCCCATTAAATGACATTGTTTCACAGAAAGGACCTGCCAAATCGGATGAAAAGGCAGCAACTATTAGAGACAGATGGTCTCACAGGTAACCTATTCCTACTCCATGCAGGGATTTAAAGGTGACAGCTAACATATTGAAGTACAACTGGAAGCCTATGGGGAACAAATGCAGCACTCACAGCAGTGGGACTATGTAGGAGCACTGTGGTGTACTCAAAATGGCATACCCTGCTGTATTGCTGACCAGCTGCAGCTTCTGAATGCTTTTCAAGGGCACTCCTGATAAAAGTGTGTTGCAATAGCTCAATTGGGAAGTGACTACGGCAGGAGTCTTCAAACTTGGCCCTTTTATGACTTGTGGACTTCAACTCCCAGAATTCCTCAGCCAGCGTGCCTGGCTGAGGAATTCTGGGAGTTGAAGTCCACAAGTCATAAAAGAGCCAAGTTTGAAGACCCCTGGACTAAGGCATGAACGATCCTGGATAATGCTACCCAGGAACAAGTATAACTGATGCAGTTCAAACTAAAGACACTTCTTGGATAAGAAGTGAAACATTTTCAAAGAAAAAACTCAGAAAGTTCAAGTGCCTTTTGGAAAAACACTTTTGGGACAATCCTATCTGGGAAAGTGCTGCCTCATCCAGAGTTAATGATACAAAATGTCCAGATACAAAAGTCTTAAAAACCCACAGCTATTCGGTCTTACTGGAGTAGAGTTGAATTCTGTTATTTCCTATCTAGAACTTCACTGCCTTCAGGTATTGGGAACGACCTTGCCAGCATTGCTTGGATGACTTTGAGAGAGGTATACAACTGAATATCATCAATATACTGAAGATGCTTCACCTGTATTGATAAGTTCACCCAATGTTAAAAATAGGAATGGAAAGAGACTCAAACCTTTGAAGCACCTTATAAAACACAGCCCCAGGCCTAGATCTCTTACCAAACTCTTTACAAAACTGTGCTCCTCACTTCAATTCTCCTAAACTGATCAGGGATACCATGATTGATAGTGTTGAAAGCTGCCAAAAGTTAAGGGAATTCCAAACGGGAGATGCCATCTCCATCACAAGCCTCCAGAGATCATCTACAAGGAACATCAATGCCATCTCAGGAATATAATTGGATCTGAAAAAATATTTAATAATCCATTTCCTGCAGGGCCCTTTTTGAAATCCTCCAGGGCAGTTAGATCTAGCGATTACATTTTAACAGCAGGCAAACCACTGCTTGCCTTAAAGGAGTCAGAACTGTACCTTCTCAAAAGGAAACATTTTCCACCAAGGGAATCCAAGTTCATGTCATCTCTGGATCTAAAACATGGTCTTTGAATTAAAGGTTCAAACTATGCCCAGATCATTGGATACAACAGCTGCTCAGTCAATTCTATAACTCTAAACAAATCCAACAGATACCTAGAAAAGTCCCCAGAGAGAAACTGCAAACGTCCCCGTGGTCCCTCCTTACCCAGGAGTTACCTGCAATAGGATTCCCAGCAATAAGAGCAGAGAAATAAGTTCTCTAAGACAAACTTATTGAATAAATCCCTCCTCCAAGCAATGGGGTGAGGGGGAGCTACGGAGAACTCCAAGGCTAACTGGCCACAATTGAGCCCAAAATTTCCATTGCTAAGCATGACGGTTGTTAAGTGAATTTTGCCCCATTTTGCAACCTTACTTGCCACAGTTGTTAAGTGAATCACTGCAGTTGACCTTGCTTATCAGAAGGTCACAAAAGGTGGTCACGTGACCCCAGCACACTGCAACCATCATAAATACATGCCAGTTGCCAAGGCTTCAAATTTTGATCACGTGTCCACGGGGATGCTGCAAATGTCATAAGTGTGAAAAACAGTCATAAGTCACTTTTTTCAGTGCCGGTATAACTTCAAACGGTCATTAAATGAATGGTTATAAGTCGAGGACTTCCTGTAATGATGTTATCTCCTAACTCCCAATCACATTCCTACTTCCTCAAGACAAAAAAGAAACTCTAGCATGTGACCTTCCACTGTGTATCAGATAACTGATATTTTGACTCACGCCTGTGGAGGCCATCAACTCCCAGGCTGCCTCCAATTCCCATTCCAGAGGAAGCGGGTTAAAGCCCTCAAACTGTTAGGCATAAATTCAGCCACAACCACCGAGCAGCTTAGGTAGGAAAGAACCCAAGCTGCTCCAGTATCATTTCTGCTTAGATCAACCTTAATAAAAGTCAGCTGTTTAATATACCACTGCATTATATTCCTCTGAAGATTGTCATAAGTTTGTCCGCCTCCTAACAAAGCTAAGTAAATGGAATGGGTATTAGCCAGCCTAAAGCATGACATTTTGCACATTTTATACCCACCCAGAACAGGGTCTCTTGCTTTTACCCTCATAACTTTTCAGTTTAACTTGCCCAGATAAACGTAGGCAACTGTGATGCTCGGGCAAAAGTAACTGATACTATTACAATTTGTTGTTATTTTAACCATTCGGTCATGTCCAACTCTTGGCGAATTTATAGGCAAGTGCTTTCCAGGCTCTCCTGTCAAGGACAGCTTCTTTCAATTGTTGGATGTTCATCTTTGTATCAGTTTTGATGTTATCAAGCCAGCCTGTTCTTTGCTTGCCCCTTCTTCTTATTCCACCAACCAGGGGTAGGCAACCGTGGCTCATTTATGACTCGTGGACCAACTTCCAGATTCCTGCTGGCTCAGGAATTCTGGGAGTTGAAGTCCACGAGTCATAAAAGAGCCAAGGTTGCCTACTCCTGCCGTTCCTAGCATCATTGACTTCTCCAATTTGAATTTGCATCCATGACATGGTCAAAGTAAATCAGACATAATCTTATGATTTTGGCTTCTAATGATTTGTCTGGTTTTATACAACTCAGCTCTCTGTTGGTTGCTCTGGCTGTTCATGGTATATTATTACAATAGAATACAGATTATTATAAAACAGAGAAGGCAAAATCAGTTAAGTGGCAGTTTATTATAATATTAGCTGTCAGTTATTTTCTTTCTGTGTTAAAATCAGTGGTGGGATTCAGCCAGTTCGCATCACTTCAGCAGAACCGGTAGCTAATTTTTTGTTGTCCAGGCCAGAATGGACTTCAGGAAGCTGCATCCACACAGAGAACCAGTTGTTCACATATTTGAATCCCACCACTGGTAAAATGGATATGTCAAGACCAGCAAAAAGTGAATGTTAGGGAAATGTTATACATTTTAGGAATCCAGAATAGTCCACTGCAGAGAAACAGATGTCCTTTAATAGAACAAGACATGTCCAGGCAGATCTCCTTATTAGTAGGCAAAAAGTGGACAATTTAGCCTTCAAAGCTTCTTTCTTCTCTCCCCAGCATCATTTTGTTCAATTCTCATTTAGTCCAGTTCTTCTCACCCATAACCTCCAGAGAAAAGGTCCCATTAATATTCATTCTTATTTTTCCATATATATGACATGCAAACATAAAACTGAATCGGTTTTATGTATGACCCATCTGTTGCCAGAGAAGATATAGTAAATAACGCAGTTACCTTTTTAAACAGCCGAATAACATCCTCACTTATCTGGGAAAGTCTGACAATGACATTATTCATGAAGATATCGTTCAGCGTGGCATGGTCTCTGCTCTCTCTTCGGGTCTGTGTCAACACTAAATACCAGCAATTCACAGGAGAAAGAAGGTGTTGATCCTTCCTATAAGCAGAGAGGGAAGGAAAATGAAAAATATTTTTTTTTAAAAAAATCCGTCCATATTTGAGGGCATTTTCTTTCATCTCAATAGTCAAGATTTTTAGTGAATACACTCTGTTTTCACAAAGTTTGCCAAAAGAACAAAAAAGTGTCTTAATTCACATTTCCTGTGAATTGTACTTTTTCTGGATGGCTGCCTCAGCCTATTATAAATCATTAGCCAATATGATGTTACAATTCATAATTGGGGGGGGGAGTACAGAATAATAATATGAAGTTGGTATTTAGAACTGGATAATAATTGTGCTCTTTCACACGAGCAGTTCAATCTTATACATACTTATTTGAAAGCAACTCCCATATTTTTTCCCAAGCACAGTTCATTTCCTGTATGCATACAAAGTTCTAATGACTGAGGAGTCATATTACTATAGCATAGGTCAGAGGGTCTACAACCTTGACAACTTTAAGAGTTGTGGACTTCAGCTTCCAGAATTCTGGGAGCTGAAGTCCACAACTCTTAAAGTTGTCAAGGTTGCAGATCCCTGGTATAGGTAGTCCTTGACTTACAACCACAACTGAGCTTGGAATTTTGGTCATAGGTCATTGCTACCATTAAGTGGCTAACCAGGAGGCCTCACTTAATTTGACAACCATTTTTATAATGGTTGTTAAGCAAACGAATCCAGCATATCCAATGGGCGAAATGCATCACAGGGGTGGGTCATAAGTAACTTTTTTTTGAAGCCACTGTAACTTTAAGCAGTCATTAAATGATCAGTCATTAAGTGAAAACTACCTCTAAGTAGAAGGGTTGGGGGGAAAAATTCTGCTACAAGATTGAATTATGTAACATATATATTTCAAAAACCTCATTTCAGACATAAAGTAGCCTTTATGTGGAAAAGAACTGCACCACATCATAAATCTGTACATTTTCTCACACAGTACAATATAATAATAGTAATAATGTTTTCAAAATATAAGACACCTAATTTACCATGATACAGCCCGCTGAATAATGAGTTCTTTCATGTTTTTATGGACCACATATCTACCCCAGTAGCATGCGTAGGGCTTTCCTATTTTATAAACACAATTCCTTTTTGAGGAAGTCACGCTGAGAAACCACTGCCACAAATCCTTGAAAATTAATAGCAAGGCATTATTACTTAATGAGGGAAGGAGAATAAGTCACAAACAGCACTCTTATTATTTTCTTTTCCTAAATATTGAACAAGACACTTTGAAACTTGCTACAAATCTCTCTCCATTAACATTGCATTTATTGACAAAATAGCCTTAGAATTTGAACACTGGAATCCAAATGTAATACTATGTTCTAAACCAGGTATGGTGAACGATGGCCCTTTTATGAACTGTGGACTTCAACTCGCAGAATTCCTGGCTGGCTCAATTGCTGAATTCTGCAAGTTGAAATCCACAAGTCATAAAGGGGCTGTAGTTCCCCACCTCTGTTCTGAAGTACTAATGATAGCTGATGTTTTATGGAATTGCTTACAGATAAGGGATGGGTTATGGGAAGAAGAGATACAGATAGTCCTCCACTTATGACCACAATTGAGCCCAAAATTTCTGTTGCTAAATGACGCATTTGTTGAGTTGCCCCATTTTACGACCTTTCTTGCCACAGTTGTTAAGTGAATCACTGTAGTTGTTAGTCAAACTGTTGTTAAGTGATTCTGGCTTCCCCGTTGACTTTGCTTGTCAGAAGGTCACCAAAGGGGATCACGTGACCCTGGGACACTGCAACTGTCATAAATATGAGTCAATTGCCAAGTGTCTAAATTTTGATCACATGACCATGGGGAATGCTACAACGGTTGTAAGTATGAAAACTGGTCATAAGTGATTTTTTTCAGTGCCGTTGTAATTTTGAATGAACTATTGTAAGTCAAGGACTACCTGTTCTGTTTGTGACCTCAGAGGGGGTCGCTAGGGCTACCTAACTTCTTTATACTTGTTGTGAAAGAAGACTAGAAGTTAGTTCTTTATATATGTCTTTTTATTTATTTCACCCTTTCCTTTTTTTCCTTTTTCTTTGCACTTTTTACTCTCTTTTTACTCTCTTTTTTCTTTCCAAGTTCAGTTCTTATTAGTTTTTATTGCTATAATTAAAATCATATATAATATGTTTAGGTTCACTCTGGGTCTTGCCACCTTCTACCATAAATCTTTTATGGTTTTTTTCCTGCCAAAAGCATCCGTGCGATAACTGGCTACAGTATATAATTAGAGTCCCTTTATTTGTCACTGGCCTCTCAGCATGCAGGGAGAATGTTTCCAAATAATCAGTACAGCACAACTCCCTGAAATCAAACAAACAACCTGCGAGGAGGAAGCACTCTCAGTTAAACTGTGAATTTATACAGCCATTTACCTGCAACACAAGTATAGCTAGGCATAGACAAGCCCCTTCATAATCTGCACAGCTATTCAGAGGCTCACGGAGATTTGTGCATGCTTACAACAAAGAAGTCTCACTGCTAAAGTATCAAGGAGGCACCTCCAAAAGAGAGAGAGGTAGAAGAAGAGGAAGAAGAGGAGGAGGAAGAGGAAGAGGAGGAGGAGGAGGAGGAGGAAGAGGGGGAAGGGCAGAGGGAGTGGGAGGAGGAGAATGTGCATGGAAGAGTGATTGCAAATATAAAAGTATTTCCATAAAACTTTGCAGCTTATCAGAGGTACAAAAGATTCCCGGCTTTTGTAGTCAAAGAATCATAACCTAAATAAGAACTGTGAGCTAAGGGGAATAAACATGCTACACACAGCACACACAGAGAGATTCATTCAAGGATATAAAAATATCTGTGCAGAAGTATATGTGTACAAATCTATATGCGTACAAAGTTAAATTTATATACTCAAAGTTAAAGCATCAAAAAGGAGATGTACATAGGCACAGTAGCACCATTAAGGTAACATAATCTTTCTTGTATTTTCCCAGATTTGGCCCAAAAATGTCTGCTGCAGCTACTGTTAATTATATATATATATATATATATATATATATAAAACCCTCATGTATAATGACCTTAATTGGGTCTAGAATTTCTGCTGCTAACATCACATGACCCTCACCACTTAAAGATAGCAATTCCAATAGTTCCAGTTGCAGTAGTTAAGCAAAGATTGCATTATTGTTAGGTGTGGATCTCCTACTTCTCCTGCCCACCAACTCCTCCCATCACCTATCTCCTCCCCATCTCTGCTTTTTTTGTCTGCCCTGCACTCCACTACTGCTGTCTACCCCTGCCAGCTCCCTAGGTGAAGGTGGCAGATGTCAGCACTGTTCAAGGCTACACAATGCCCACGCCACTGCACTCTCTCCTCCACTCGCTCTGTCCTGTTGCCTTCTCTCCAACCAAATCCAACAAGCTCCCTTTGGCAGAGAAGGGTCTGCCTTGCTTTGCTACTTGAGTCCTAGGGTCACGCCTTTACCCAGTGCCTGGATCCTGGGCCAGCAGCAAGGAAGATGGTGGTGGTCAACAGGGGCAGTAGGAGACAGCAGGGGTAGATGGCAGTGGAATACAAGGTAACCAAAAAAGCAGAGATGGGGTGAGATAGGGCGGTAGCTGAAGTGCGTGCTGTGTTCATAAATGCAGGCCAGTTGCAAGTGCCAGAATTTTGATCACGTGACTATGGGGGCACTACTCTGGCCATAACTTTGAAGACCCCGGCATAATTTACCATTTGTTCACTGCTATAACTTCGAACAGTGTCTGTTAAGTGAGGACTACCTGTAAAATTAGCCTAACATGTCACCTAATCTAAACCCAGCAGAAACTAACTTTTAATCACTATTTTTTCCTTTACTGCTTTACCTTCCTTTATTTTACCGCTTTATTTTTTTAACTTCAGCAGTGCACCATTTCATGGTTTTTGCTGTCTCTGAAGATAAAAGGGTTTCAGCCAAATATTATAACGATGATGCTATTGCAACACTATTGCTAATAGCAGTTATAGCCGAGATTAAATTACTGCAAGGGCAATGACCATTGATCCATAGGAAAAGCATTCCTACTACTGTGTGTAGTAGCCAAGTGTAGACCTTTACCTAAAATAAAGCACAACAAACAAATCAAAAGTATACAAACACCAGAAATTCTAGATATGCATTACTTTTTTAAAATGTGTTCCCTGTTTTAATTATTGTTCTCCACTTTGAATACAGTTGTGAGATGCAAACCAAATTACAAACATTAAAAAGGTTTGAAATAATTTTCTTACTATAGTTGCCACACCACCCAGATACCCAAATAGAATACATCAAGTCTTTAGATTTGATGAAAATTATCACTCTCAAGCTAAATGTTCTTTCTCCAAGTTGATTACACCCTCTATGTTCTACAGGTAGTCCTCGACTTACAATAGTTCATTTAGTGACCAAAGTTACAATAGCACTGAAAAAAGGGACTTGTGGCCGTTTTTCACTTACAATCATTGCAGCATCCCCATCGTCACGTGATCAAAATTCAGACACTTGGCAACTGACATGTATTTATGACGGTTTGCAGTGTCTCAGGGTCCTGTGATCACGTTTTGCAACTTTCTGACAAACAAAGTCAACGGGGGAGCCAGATTCACTTAACAACCGGGTTACTAACTTAACTGCAGTGATTCACTTAACAATCGTGACAAGAAATGTCATAAAATGGGGCAAAACTCACTTAACAGAAATGTTAGGCTCAATTGTGGTTGTAAGTCGAGGATTACCAGCATATATTTATGTTGTACCTTTCCTGGAATCATAGTTTTATGCTGCTTTATAGAACTTTACCCTCTGGTATTTAGACCACATTTCTTGCCCAGATAGAATTTGACCCTTCTAGGAAACCTACGTACTGACATATTTGTAACCAGCAGCCCAAACCTATTTCAAGCTGGATCCAACTGCCACCTATGAGTATTCACAGTTTCTGCATGTACAATATTTGGGTCACTGATGATTGAAAGCCTCCCAGAATGCTAAGAAATTATTCCAA